CAAATAAACTCGAGGCAGAGATGAATTGCAGGACGAAAATAAATCCGTGTGTGATGACTTGGGATGGGATAGGGACAAACTTCCACAAATGCTACGCGAAGGAAATCAGTATATATGATCACGTTGAGGCATATATTCAATGGATAGTACTCGAGAAAATGCTTGAAAGCATCTCATTCGATCAGTGTCATGGATTCGACGAGGACGAAGCAGAGGAGATCAGCACAGCACTGGGTGCAGCGAAAATGCCAGAATATAATACAGCGCCAGAATCAATTATGATGAAAAGAAGAATAAACTCCGTGTGATATTGATTAGTGTGGATTACATGTATATATATAATCTCTACCACAAGTTGTTTTTTCAGATTTATAGAAGCTTTGTATGTCAGTAATCGAACAAAAACATTTGCTATGCCAGCTGAAAATTATATGAGGTCAAGAAATTTGTTAAATTAAAACCTGATAGGATTAGCACCGCAATGGTGACCAACTTCCGAAGTTAAACTTCTAAAAGCACACATGTTCTGAATACAAAAAATTATTTCGTGTTTTTCTCATTTTCATATGCGCGATGATTGGTAGAGGCATTAGATGCTACGTTCCGTTTGTTCGTTTTCTGAGTAATAAAAAATTTGTAGTTCTTAAGTGTTTTTTGTGTAAGGTTACTGTTCCTTCTAATCCAAAATGTGCTGAGTTTTGTCACTGAATTGAAGAAAGAGTTCTTTCATTTCAGTTATGCAAATGTAAATTTTCGCAAGCATTGCGCTCCAAGAAACTGTTACTTTATTGCACAATCATCATTTAAAATTTTTAAAAATTCGTCATTCAAACTTTTGAAACAAAGTTTAAATCATTCAAGCTTTAAAATTACTGGCTAATTTAATATTTTCGACTGTCATGGCCATCAAACATACGTTAGATGAAAAAATACCGTGATATTGTATGGTATCATTAGGTTCTAAAGGACAGGTTTTGCCACGGTGATCAGGAGGAAGGAAATGCTGGAGACTAGTTTAGTCGGAAAAATGTCTGGGTACTTAATTTCATTGCTAAAGATTGTAAACTTTTCTTGTTAAAACCAGAGGAAGACTTTAAAAACTTGGAAAAAAATTATGTAATTTCTTCATTTCCTGCAGATTTACTAAAAATTGTCTGGCTTATAGTGTTGTCTCAATATGTTACATTCCTAAGATTTGATGCAAACTTACAACGGTTAGTTCACGTTGGAAATTTTTTGTCTAATGTACTAGTTAATAAGCTTGGAATTTGATTTTGTAAAGAGACTAACTTTTAAAAAGTAAACAGTGATTTAAACTCTTCAAATCCATCTCATTAAAATGTTGGTTCAGCGAGATTTTGTGTTTGAAGTGGCAAGAAAGAACCAACTCAGAAAACTCGATTGTGTCGTTTCCTCAGATTTCTCTCTAATCACTAATGCAATCCAGTCATAAAAACAAACAGAATGTGCGAAATATCTTTATCACTGATTAGGCGAAAAATGTATCATTTTTTAAAGATATTTCGAATTAATTAATTAATTTTAGTATTAATTAATTAATTAATTAATTAATACTTAATTTTGAATTTTCGTTATTCCAATTTGTGTTGTAAATTATTTTCGTGTTTATGCTGATACATTTTTCGTTAAACTTCATTCTATCTGTTTCTGTTTCATACTTGTAGTTAATTATATTCAAAGCATTAAGAAATAAACAAATTTCATGGGATGAATGTGATGAGTGATTGTGATTTATTGTGAGATATCGATAATGTCAGCAATTTGCAATTTGCAGCATTAATGGGAAAGCAGTCGAATCTTGCGTTCGATTTCATGGAGATTGATTAATGATAGACTTTGCAGGTAAGCGAAATTATCAGTTATCAGAGCAGAAATTATGCAGAAAGAGTGAATGCACGTTTGTTTTGGGTAGATAACGACATGATAAATGATGATAGACCGTCAAATAACGAGTGCACATCATTATTGGTGGATAATGGTGGATTTGCAGTGCGGAAGGAGTGAGTGCGTGATTGAGCGCGTTGTTGGGTACAGCAAGAGATGTTACTCGTAATAATAGTTCTGTTTTATTTGTGAAGTAATCAAATTCAATCCATACATGTTCCAGTGTGGAAAGACGAAAGGGAAGACGGGTCAGCTGTCACGTCAATTTATTATTTCAAACAACAATTATCCATTATTCTTACTTCTGACGGGCAGAATATCATCGTTTTGTCATCTGATTGAGGTCTGAAGGGGCAGGTTGTGGTAGAGTTCCTGAAGCACTATTATCAACGGTTTTTGTCTCTCTAAAAATTCACTTTCATTCTACTCGACACACCGGCACTCTTCATGCAAGTTTTTTGGCCCTATTTTGCTTTTTCCCTTTGTACATTACCGCGGTGTTTTGTATTGTATTCTCAGTGCAGCACTACGGAGATAAAAAGCACTGGAAAATGGCATACGAATGTAGGTAAATGATCTGGGTCAACAGCTATAGCAATACTAGTTGAGAGCTGAGATAAATAATGCATTATTATGGCTGAGGGATGCCAGCTGCCATATTCTTATCAATTTTATCAAATACATATCTTTTATATTTTGTAATTACATCACTTTCAGTGTTGTTTCTAATAGAATACTTGGTCAAGACTTGATTGCAATGGGAAATATCGAACATGCCACGTAATAATTTTTTTTTGCTCTAATTAGTTACATCATATTAAAGAAAATTTGACCAGAAATATAATCTCAGAAGCCAGGTACGTGTGTTATAAATCTTATTTGGCTGCTTTTTAGAATAACAGCTCAAATTTGTTTTATTTTTTCATATAGAGTTTGTACTTTGGTTACAGGCGTATTTTGATTTTACTATTACTTTTGTGCTCAGTGGCCATAGGTCAGAGTAGTCAAAACCGACCAATTGGACCATTAACTGATGATTTTCAAAATTGGCTTGTTGCAAATGGCTATGAGCATTTGAATTTCGATCGACCTGATATTGGACCCAGTGGTAGTTTCGGTGGACGGAGGAAACGGGAACAAAAGGTAGGAGATAATTTTAAGATATGAAAATTTTCACAAGCGTAACATTATTTTCTTTGAATGACATTATTAAAATCTTTCAGATCAAAACTGATTTGGTAAAATCTACCGAAATGATAGGAGAGATATAGAAGAGTTTATGTTTTCACTGTTTAATCCCTACATAAAACTTTTAGATTTGATTAAAAGCAAATCATGTTTTGACTCGACTCATTCCAAATCGTTATACGGAAAGATTTAATTTTTTCTAAATTTAAAAGATACAGAATTTCATAGATACTACATGAACCTGTGATTTTCGTCCACGGCAATGCAGATGCAGCGCTGCACATACAACCACCACTTGCTACTGGTTGGTCGCGCTCAGTACAATATTTTTTGGAACAAAATTATACTTCTGCTGAATTGTATGCGACAACTTGGGGTAACACCTGGGCTGGTGGAAGTATTCTCACTTCATACAGTACCATGCAAACTTGTTCAAATCTTATTTATTTGAGAAAATTTTTGATCGCTGTGTTAGATTACACAAACGCACCTAAAGTTGATATTATTGCCCATTCCCTGGCTGTGCCCTTAATGAGGTAATGTATTACTGTCAGAATTATTGGTGATTTTTTAAAATCATACTTGGGATATTGTTTTCCTTGCATTCTTAACGAGCTCGTTTAAAAACGATGCGAGGGCGACTGTAAGAACGATTTCTGTACTAATATCCTCAACCTTTTTACTTAATTTGTAATTTTTTCTTTCTTAAAAGTATTCTTATTACAGTTCACTAATAATCAATTTCCCCACAAGAAATATTTTTCACTTGCATGTCCCCTCTTATTTCATTAGTAATGAATGACTGAATGTGCAATCTTCGAATTACTGTATTTTTTAATTGTCAAGAAAACTATTCTGGTTTATGGGATAACTTTCATTGCAAGAAAGTAATTTATTTCTTGCAGATGAAAATAAAAACTTTAGCTTGGTATTAGACTTAGTCTGAACCGTCTCTAATCCATATTCGCGAGTAAGACTGCTTCATACCAATTTTATTTATACAACGAAAGAATTCGTTTCATTTCTTGCTCACATTCAATATACACACATGTTTTATAAAAGTTGAAGACACAGTTCACTTCCGTTTTTTTTAGGAAAATATTAAAAGGTGGCAGTTTAATTGCAACTGATGGGAACTGTGTGTTGGGTAAACCTTTGGGTCATCGAGTTGACACATTTCTGGGAATCTCGGGTGCTAACTATGGTCTCTGCATTTGTCAGTTGGCTCAAACAATCCCAGCTTGGTGCAATGCTTTAGATGGTTTGTATCCTGGTTACACCTGCGAAGATCAGGTAACTTAGATCATTCAGTGAATATTTAATGGAAAATACAACCTATCCAAGGTACCAAATTCAAATTTGCAACCATATATGATGATCAATCACAATGAGCAAATTTCGCTTGAAACTTCATTTTGATGATAAAGTCATGGCTCTCTGAATATTTTTTTGACTACTTCTTTATGCTAAGCTCATAAATATCGATACTGAAAACACTCTTAACTTTAGCGCCAATGTAGTTCAAGAAAACTGAAGTATAGGGTTCTTACAGTTGATTTGTGCATACCCGGATGCTGAATGCAAACAGAAAAATTATTCTGCGTTCTTAGAAAGTTTAAACAATGACCCAAACCGTGAAGCTGATCACGTATATGCCATGTGGTCCGACGGTAAGTGTTCAATCACCTCTTTGAAATAAACAATGTAAGTCAGTATCCGGTTAAAAGGTTTTCGCTAGCCTCCATAATTTTGTTTTACAAGTTTTCACTTCAAAAAACAATTGGATGAAATTGTACACCTTCTCCAGACAGCCGCATTAAAAAATTTGCGTAGATTTTAAAATAAAACAGGACGCTACGAAGTTGCGAGAAAAATCAAAGGGAGTTTTGATAACTTAAGCATAACAAGTGTTCTTTTCTAGTTGATGAAGTATTACTTTTCCGAGGAATGACTTGGGGAAGACCAACAAGTCGCATACCAGGAATGAATGGTCGTTGGGTCTCCGACAGAAATGGCCATATGGCAATGAAAGACTTGACTGAACTAAGACAGTATGAAGCTGTAGTACATCATTCTATCTAAATTGCTGCATATTGTAAAATAAGCATACGCTGATAAAACTAAAACTGCTGGTTACATTTTATTAAAAATAAAACAAAAACATTCGTTTCAATTCTGCATTTAAGTGCTGAATATGCACAATACCACCACTGAAAAAGGTGAAAGTGTAATATTAATAAAGTACGATAGAAAGATCACTTTCCAATCACGAGACAGTTTAAATTTATGACATATAAAATGAATCAAAAGGTCGATATTCAATATGCATAAAATGATCAAGCAAAACAAGCATAATAAGTTGATCTAAGAATTCGAAGAACAATTTATTTTCATTGTTCACCCTTTAAATTAGTCATGCCAGCTCGCATTACTTCGTCAACATGAAGCAAATTGCATGCAATAACACATGCTGATGCTAAACTGTTGCGTTTGACAACAAGATTATCCCATATGCCCTAAAATAGAAAACTTTATCAGGTGTGGAAATGCAGTATATGAAAAACAATGAATTTAGTACATTAAAAAAATACACCAAAGTTGCAGACATTTTCAAAGCATTTTATAAAGCAACTACTGCCAACGGGATTGTATTTATAACAAAAAACCAAGGATATGAAACATATGAATATAAATGAAATGCAGTCACGAATATGCAATTGTAGCCGATTATGATCCATATTTATATACTGAAATACAGAAGAATTCATCCAAAAAACATCAGAGACACTTTTTGTCTGAACCTGAAAATAATGTCAAAAAAAATATTATAAACGATACCTGAGGATTACATGGTTCACCAGAATTAATATCTAAACCGATAGGGACTGCACTGTTACATGCTAATTTTTGTTCGATGAGCTCTACTATAACTTCTTGTGCATTAAATCCTGCATTTAATGCCAGAGTCTTCGGAATAATCAGTAAAGCGTCTGCATAAGCCTAAAACAAAAGTGCCAAAAATGATGACGAGAAAATCAATGACATTTGTAAAAATCGACGGTTCAGAAAATATTCCAGTAAAGATCTTTATAAGAGGTACAATTTAAAACAGTATTTTAATCAAACATCTTGAATATTTGCTCTTACTTGGACACCCAATTTCGCTTGACCTTTTACATTATCAACTTCATTTTTTAGCATGCAATGAGCAGCAATCTCAAATGATCCTGCACCCGGAACAACTGCTTCTGAAAATTTATGTATGTCATAATACAAATAAACCATATATTTACCTGATCATGAGAACCTTAAAAAATTGAAAACTCTCAGTTTCAAGACAAAGTAATCATGCTTGCTTAGTATAACTTGAAGGCTGATGTTAGTTACATTTAAAATGCCAATATAAAACTTACGATCCACAAGAGTATTGAAAACTGCTCTAATGCCATCATGAAGAGCATCTTTGATCTGAGTGATCGTATGTTTATTCGGTCCTTTCAACAAAATAGTTACTGATTTTGGATCTCGACAATCTTCGACAAATGTGTATTTGTCTTCACCCTGTTATCAAAACAAAGTATTGAAGCAATGTTTAACATTACAAATAATGAATAATGCCATATTCTTACGTGACAAGACATCATCGAAGAACTATGAACGAGGAATAAAACAGCAAAGTTTTCAGGCCAATTTACTTGAGATTTAGAGTCAGATGAAAATAGGGTAAACTAAAATATTCGCTTACATAAATAAAAGATATTTGAAAGTCAACTACAGATGACCTTTCTACTACGTGAAAAATGAAGCTGCTAATAACCCGTCCCTTTCAATTAAATATTTTAAATAATTTAGCAGAATATTTTTTGGAAAATTAAGCGGTGACTCTCAAACGACGGTTTTTGACATACCAAAACATGCTCGTAGACTGTACCAGCAAATCCAAGAACATTTATACTCAGATCATCGAGGCAATTCACAGCTTCACCTCCAACAGCCAACTGCAAACGCTCCATATTACGTCGCTTCGCTCGACGCAATGCCAGAATTCCGTTCCTTGCTAACAAATCTAATGATGGCGGATCAATGCCCTGTAAAACTTCAACTTATCACTGACACGTATGGCCATTACGGCATCTACTACACAATATATGATTTTCATTCAGTTTTGTTCTGTTTGCACTGCTTAAAGACCGATTCTACTATCTCTTTTACTACTTTTGAAACTTTTGCAAACATGACTCGTTTTCACGTGAAACATAAGGAAGCTACAATAAAATCAAGAACAAACTTTCTGATTGATAACTACAAATCCATGCTTTTTTCCATCAATACTTTCTGCTTCATCACAGACTTTTTTCTTCAGATCGATAATCTTTTGAACTCTTCGCATGATAAATTCTCTTTCAGAAGCGACAAGCTGTTCTCGCTCAGCTGCGGTTTTATAGAAGAAACCAGAATTAACCTCACTGAAGATTTATAGTTTCTTTCACTACAACACTAGTCCTGCTTATTCTGTTTAACAAAAAATCGTTTTAAAATTCTCCTTATGTCAAATATGATGTGATAACCGAAAAAATAATTTAAAGAAGTATATGACACAAACAATTGAAAATAAAAACTAACTGATGGACAAGTTGGTAAGATAATGGTAATAATGACTGAGAGCTGAATGAAAAAGAACTACAAATACAATTTGTAAGAATGAAAGAATGTAATTCAAACGTTTTCTCATATTCCAACGATACATTGCACGTTAAAATATAAGCATTTTTGACATTTTTCGGCATATCAGGATGTCGAGCTCCATGATCCAAAACCAATCCCCGTACAAGTGTGGTATCCATATCATCTTCATGCATCATTTCCTGAAATACATAAAATTCCTATCCTTAATAAATATAATTTTTTACCCCATTTTTAATTACTTGTCAAATTGTATTAGTAAAACAGGATTTTATAGCAAATTAAGATTAAGGAAGAATCTCAATGTTATGGCTAAACAATATTTGCACTGCAGATAAGTTTTTCCAATATTCTTACAAGTTATCTATTTTTTAGAAGGGATCTTAAAATTTGTTTACTCTTTGTTGATGCAGGCCACAAATAACGTCTGTAAAAGGACATATATAATTCTAAATTACTAAATCAGAAATTATAAATAATTTTAATTTCGCCAAAAAACATACCTGTATTTCAATCATATGCAAATCTGGATGCGAGGCGTTCCCAATTCGTATGGCTAACACAGCATCCACTACACAATCTGTTATATGATCAGCCAACTTTTCATTTAGCTTTGTTCTGAGTGAGGTTCGCGCTATCTGTCACGGAGAATTAATATAATGCAATAAATGTCAAGAACACACTTTTTTTTGAAGTTTGAAAAACTATATTTCCAAATGTTTAGCCTATTTTAAAGAGAAGAACACATAATTTTGATGAGAATTTACAGATGAACTCTAAGCTTACTTAAAACGCTTTCAAATATTTGCAAAATTTTCATAACAATAAGTTAGTGAAGCATTCAAATCATTCAATTAAAATTTTTTATTACGAGGTAATAGTTACCTCGCACAGTAATTCTCGATCCAATTCTGGTGTTTGTTTGAATTTTTCTAGAAATTCAAGTGTTTTCAAACTTGAGTGCTCAAAACCTTCAGTGATTAGTCTTGGATGAACACCCTACAATAGGACTGTGAATAGAAAAACAAAATATTCGGAAAAAAAGCTTTTCGCACGAACTTCTCAAAGTCACACCTCAGAGATGAAAAGATCTGCCTGTTTAAGGAGCTCTCCAATCAAAAGAACAGTAGAAGTTGTGCCATCACCCGTAACATCATCCTGTGCGGTAGTTGCCCGAGCAATCATAGCAGCCGTAGGATGTTGAATTTGCTGTAGTTCATTACGTTAAACAAGAAACAATTAAAGAATAAAAATCGTTTCAACAGTGCTTTTGTGAATAGATAAAAGTAAACTTCATAAACACATCCCCCTCAAAAATACTTCTGTTATATCTAAGTCTAGAGATGCTATCACACACAAATTTTTGACTAAAAATTTCATGCTTTTTTCTATCTTTTTGATTACTCTTCGCACTATTTCTTCAACATCGCCAATTCTACTAGTTAACAAATAGTACTTGTACAATATGTCGATCGAATGATACAACTGAACATAACTTGCTCATGTATCAAGGTAAACACAACCATTTTTAACAGGATAATAAGCTAACCATTTCATGAAGAAGTACATTACCATCCTTTGTCAATTTGATTTCGCCGGAACCAGACACTAACCTATCAAATATCAATCGTTATATAGCCGAATATATATAAGAAAATAATAATAGAAATAACAAAATACTAAACGCAAAATTGTCATAATGAAATAGACGGACATTTTCATTGTTCCCTTGGGTCCAAGATTTGTTCGCATCACTTCCATCAACCCTTTCGCACCACTTACATTTAACTCGAGAGCTGCAGCATGGCGAGCCAATTCAGCTTTTGGATTCAAACAAAGAATAGAAGCCATATTTCACACTCGACTACAATAAAGCACTTGAATGAAGAGCTGAACCTCTCACTTTACAAATAAGAAACTTAGCAATCAACAAACAACGTTAATGACATATACGCTACTACATAGTGTTGCAAAATATGATAACGCAAAACTTTTTGCGGAATATTCACAATGAGCGAACACTCATGGAAACAACGAAAGTCAAAGTGAAAACTGCTCGACGCAAATGCTTAGATAACAACGAAGCTAGATTCACAAAAAAAGTTGATAAAAAGTTTACTTGCCAGTGCTAGCACAAGCTTGCAGAAAAATATCCCGCAATGATTAAACACATTATGGCTGACATGAAGAATTAGAGGTAAGACATCTAAAAAAGTCTATACACCACTATTACCTACTACTATTACCATCAATCGCAACAAACTTCATCGGGTAGTACGCAAATGTTTCACAATTACACATTTCAGTTTGACTACGGATGTATGCAACTATTGTGAAACATATCAGTTTCACATTGTTTTTTTTCTTGAAGGTTGATATACAGTGAATTTCACTAAGTAGAGAGTCTTAGCATGCATCGACTTGATCTACCATATGAAGATAGCTGAACAAAAGAGACAACAGGGCTTCATGAGATTGCAAAATAATATTTATAGTAAGACAAAATCACAAGAATAAATGAAACAGCACGATATCGACTAGACACAGACACAGCATTTCCCTTATAGTAGGATGCAGTGAACTGTGCAGGACCTTCAGTTTAGTTTTCTTGAGATCAGAAAGCTTACAACGGAATAGACTTGGGTAAAAGGATGTGACTGCCTGCAGGCATCTTCATATTGCATTTCCACGTCGTACATGCGTTTGTTGAAACTGATGATCACATAAGACTCTGTGTACTCATTTAAGACAGTTGGAATGCTCTCATGATAGACAAGTGGTCGGAAAAAGTTTTGATGATATAAAGTAAATGGGTACAAAAATGTTTAGATAATTTACGATGATAGTAATGCGAAATGTCTGGTTAGTAATTGCAGCACCGATTCTTGCTTTTCACTATCAATTGATTATCCTTTACCATGGGCCAAGCAAAAAAAATTGCTGAGTACGGTAGTTGGTGGAGTTCCATCGATACAGACGTTGTAAACAGTGGAAATTGCAGAAGCATCGATGAATTGCAGTGTGATGGAAGTTTGTATCAATTGACTCAATCATATTTCTTCTAGTTTATTTATTAAATATTCGTCTACTTGGTGATTTGGGAAGATTTTTGTATTTCTGACTGGTTCCAGATAGCTATAGCTATCATTTCAGACTCAGTATTTTGGTTAGAATCTCAGTTTCCCTCTGGTCGTCGTGTTTTATTACAAGCGAAGAAGGACGGCAGTGAAATAATTGAATGGACCCAATCAGATATCACTATACGCAATACAGGTTATTTTCCCTTCTCATTTGTGGAAAATAAATGAAGTGCTTTTCTTTGCTAGTTTCTTATTGAATTTGAATGAAATGAATCAAGGAAGATTTGAGCTCATAATTCTACACAATGTGAATTCGACTTTTTCTTTCTTTCCTTCTCTATAAAATGAGCACCTTTTGTAGTCTTCTTTGTTCTAATTTGAAATCAGTTGCTAAATCCATATTTATATTTTCAGTCCACGAATATGGAGGTGGATCATTTATTATTGTCAATAGCATTCCTTATTTTACCACTCCATGTGGAATATTTAGGCAGCTGACGGCAGCCAGTGAACCAGAGTTGATTGTTGCTGGTGATCGATCACATCGCTTTGCCGATTTGTGTTATTTCAAAGTAATGCTTTTTTCAAATTCGTAAATTATAATATTTTGTGTGGGTAATATTATTGATTTGTATGATATTTAATCGATTTTTTCACGAAAATACAGGGTATATTATATGCGATCTATGAGGTCCATTCCGGAAACAAAGTCGAAAATATGATTGTAAAAATTCTTGAAGGCGATATTCAACCAGTGGTAAGAAAACTTAATTCAGTTCCTTTGTTGTATACTTTTTTGCTTATTTGATGTGCCGTAATTAAAAGTCAGTTAATATCTTGTGAAGTGAACATTGGTTACATCAACACTTAGGTAACTGGAGCAGACTTCTATGCTTCCCCACGCCTAAGTCCAAATGGGCAGTACTTTTGTTGGATGGAATGGAATATTCCAAACATGGTATAATTCAGACTTCAAAATGTAGTTTTTGTCAGCAAGTGAAAATTTTATTTAAATACCAGTAAAGTTTAGGTTACTGTTTGAAAATGAGCAATCTGTACCTATATAATGATAACAGTCAGTTATGTTATATAAATAAATGCATTTTTACATAGCCTTGGGATGAGACGGCGATTGTTGTTTCATTACTTGAAGAAAATGGTGATATTAAAACAAAAATTTGTCGTATTGATCGTTCTGGTGTCAATTATCAGAGTCCAGAATGGAGTCCTAGTAATGATTTATATTTAATTTCGGATCATACAAATTGGTGGAATGTCTATAAGGTTTCATACTTCATTTTTCTTTTTTATGCAAGTTTAAACTAAAAATGTGTGATATCATTCTTTCAAAAATGTTTTTCAGAAATTTGAAATTTTGTAACTGCGCATCAGTTACTGATAATTTCCAAGCAAAATTTGAATAAATTTAACGGACTTCATGATATATATATATAATTAAATAATTTTTGCTTATTTTTTGAGGTAAATTTGACGGAAGGAGAATTAGACCAAAACGTGTTTCCTGTTAATACTGAAATTGGTACACCACTTTGGCAATTTGCTGATCGACAGTTTGCTGTAAATAAGCAAGGTTTTTATGTTTGCTGTTCGTTGTCATACATTTGTTTCTAGAAATATTTTATTATTATAATACTTTTGTTGCAAGTCTTATTAAACTTTTCAAAGCTCAATTTTAGCCTCAATTTCTTGTTCAAGATGCTGTGATGTGTATATAATTTTGCTATGCAAAACTATACAACATGCGCAGAAAGGAGCTAGCTTCAATGTCAAATTCATTGATGTGGCTACGATTTGGAAATATTACCACACAGGATGAAGCGCGATACTGTCAGCTGCAAAACAGAAATATGTTTGGAGGTGAGAAAGGCCAGCATTATGAGGAACGTGTGAAGACGGTGGCGCATCTAGCAACGCAGTGTGAGAAAATGTTATATCATGGCTATGCTAGAAGGCACAATGAAGTCGTGCGATGTGTTCATTTAGGACTCTGCAAAATGTATTGTCTAAAAGCATTTTTCCTTGCATCGATAGTACTCAAAAGAACGCTCGAAAGCATCTAATTTGATCAGAGCCGGGGATTCGACGAGGACGAAGCAGCCGAGATCAACACAGCAGAACTGAGCACGGGTGAGTGCATCGACAATGTAGGAATACGACCCAGTGCCAGAAATCAATAATGAAGAAAAGAATAAACTCCGTGCGATATCGATTCTATATATATATACATATTATTAAAAAAATCAGGGCGCGGGATAAGTACAACGAAAGTGCGGGAGATACAGCGTCAGAACCAATATAGCGTAAACAAAAATTAACCTCAACATTTTATTTTATTATATATATTTATATATGCGTAATACTTCAGGAGTGTTGTTAAATGTTGCGGGAAAAATAATATTCAAACCTTGGAATGCTAAGGCACAATTAGTCATTGGTTCCCCATATTCTTACTTCAAAAATCTTGCTCTAGATGAAAACCATACTGCTTATGCGATCGCTTCAGGCCCTGCCAAATCCTCTACTATTGTTAGAATTCAGCTGGATACAAATCAGGTTAGCATTCGTCTTAAAATTATATTACTTTTTCACTAGTTCGTTTTTTGTCAGTTTTGCTGTTCTATAATGTTGATCAATAAATTTATGTGCGCTAAAAAATTTCATAGCTCTAGCAAAGATTTTTTTTAAACATGAAGGGAAGTGCAATGCTTTTTACGTTATTAGGTATCAAGTGGAATGAGAGAATGATACTTGTTGCTGGTTCTTGAATATTGCTTGATTGTGTTGTAAAGGTGGATGAAATATACAAAAGTTTTGTCTTGCTGTTTTAAGTGTTATTAGGTCGATGTCATTCGGGAATCTCGGCCCTCTCTTGACATCGATAAATATGATATTTCGGTGCCAGAATCAATCAATTTCAAGTCCGATGGTGTTGCTGTACAGGCTTGGTTTTATCCTCCTTTTGTAAGAATTTTATAACTGCTTAATTTATTTTGTAGTTGCACGTTAGATTCTGCAATTGTGTTGAGTTTAAAACGTTTTAAGAAATTCCAAGCGTAGAAGAAATGTTAATTGATTGTACGAAGTTTGATGAACAGATTTTGCACTGCAAATAGCTTTTATATAATTGAAAATACTTTTGTATACACGAAATCTATTGCAATAAACTGCTCAGTGAAAAATATTCTTTATTACTCGCGTTGAGAATATTATAGTCTACAAGTTATCAAGCTCCTGAAAACACTTTGCCTCCGGTTGTTTTATTTGCTCATGGTGGACCCACAAGTTACTCTCCGAATACTCTAAATATGAAAATTCAATACTTAACTACAAGAGGTTTTGCAGTCTGTGATGTGAACTATCGTGGTTCCACAGGTCAGTGAGTAGAGCTTTTTGTAAATATACTCAACACTTCCAGAACTATTCGTGTATGCTCTTTTCAAGGCAAAATGTTGGTTAAGTACTGTACTCTACGATTAGTGTGTGTGTAATAATGTTTGTAGGTTTCGGAACAGTATTTCGGAACATGCTGCGACGAAATTGGGGAATTGTTGATAGAAATGATATGATTAATGCGGCTAAGAAGCTGATCTCTCAAAGACGAGTAAATCCGAGACATATATGTATTGTGGGTAGCTCAGCAGGAGGTTATCTTCTCTTGGCTACGATCATAAAATCTAATCTGTTTGCTGCAGCTGCATCACTTTATGGTGTCAGCGACCTTATCGGTTTGGCCAAAGTCAGTGCAGAACTAGTAGGATTATCTGTGGAAATCTTACAAATACACCAAAATTCGCATTATAATTTCGTGTTTAGGATACTCATAAATTCGAACTTGGTTACAATGAGCAGCTTGTTGGAAAGTTCCCGGAAGAATCAGCTCTTTATGAGGAAAGGTCACCGCTGAACCATTGTGATCAATTAACTACTCCAGTTGCATTTTTTCATGGTGAAGATGATCTTGTCGTACCACTGACGCAAAGTGTACAATTACACGAGATGTTAAAAGCAAAAGGAGTGACTACTTCCCTATCAGTTTTCCCAGGTAATTTGAAGTGATGTTGTAAGAAATAAGATGAATTCAAAGTGTAACCTAAAGACAAAAGTTAAGAATTTTGTGCATTATACTTCTGTAACAATTTAAAATCACGACAAATTCCAAAGTAGAGCCAGTATTAGGCCATATAGTCATGTTCAGTATACCGTATTTTATATAAACAGGTCCTGCTTACACTTCTCAAATAAACTGAAGTATTATCGTAGGTGAGGCTCATGGATTTAAAGGATCATTCGCAAATAAAATTGCTCTTAGTGGTTTTTATTACTTCTTCTGTCGCGTACTAGGGATCAGACCTTCAGTGGAAAGTGAGGTAATTTTGCTTTGTCTGACTTTCCTTACTACGTTCCATACCAGATGAACGTTCGGAATTGTGCGGATTGCATTAAATTTTTATATAAAATACATACGTTTTTTTAAATTGAAATTTTCAGTGTTGGCTTAACTTTCAATGCAAAGCAGAGCTTGTTTTATCTTAGTTTAGAGATTGAAGAGAATAATAGAATAAAGGACCGCCCGCAAATTTCTATCTACATTTTCATTCAGATTAAAATCGAAAATTTGCCGAGACTCCAAGTCAGGAAGGATTAGTCGATGATACTCAAAGAAAGATCTTAATTCCCATTTTGGAGTATTTATATTTCTTTCCATCCATGGTACGTAGATGATGTTTTACTCAAGTGTAATACGTCAAGTTTTTGTAAATACGTTAGACCGGATTAAATAAACATTACTTCAACTCAACCATCTTTAAAGTAAACAGAAATATAGTTTGTAGACTGATGTGTAAAAGAATGGTACCGAGTTTATAGGATAAATATAACAAACTCATTCGGAGAAGAAAGTGGAATTTGCCAACATAATTTACAGATAACCGACACAAATACAAATTATTTTGTAATAGGATTTATCGTCTTCACAGTAACACAGTATTTGATAACCAATAATTATAAATAGAACAGAAAAATACGTCAATATCGAAGTGAACTATAGAACTTGGGAACGGAAAAGAAAAGCTAGCAAAAATATCTGAAAATAGAACTAAAAGGGAACAAAGCTGCACCAGGAAGCAGGCTAGAGACATCATTATATCGATACAAGATGAAAGGTAATTTAGAACGATCAAACTTCAGGTCACTCGGGTATTGGATTTCTCCGCATACAAGTTTTTAACATTCCTGATTCTTATACCGTTAAGAAGTTCCAATTTTGAAACAATCCAAAGCAGAAAATTATCCGACAGTGGTACTGCTTATGGTACTTCAGCTATTTTGATTACGTCTGTTTGAAATTGTTAATCGAGGCTCTTTTTGTCACATGATAAGAGTGTTAAAAAATATGAATATTATTTTTAACCAATGTTTTCTATTATGGGAAGTATAAGAAAGAGTAATAAAAACATTAAAGAGCCCTTCTGCATACAGAGAACCGAAGGAAAACTGAGAAATGATTCAATACATACAAAGTGCTTTTTTTCAACTGAGATCAAAACGAGGCTTATAATGTGCCATCTAAATAGAAAAAAGGAAAATCTGCAAAGAGACTTGGAGATTAGAAGACGAAAGAATAGTTTTAGAAATGTTCAGAAGGGAAGAAAATTACATCAAAAATAGTATCACACCTAATGAGCATAGTTTGCTTCGTAAATAAATCAACAGTAAAAGCAGAAAAAGTGCCAAATGCATCAATTATGGCAGCAGGTCAAGGAAGTGGTTCAACATAATTAGCCGGTACGAGACCAGTTTTGCCGTTTAGGGTCCCGATTAGCCAACCTTCTTCCTTGGATTCATAAACTATAAGAAAGTTGGACGATATTTTTCAAGAAAACAAAATCATTAACTATAAATAAGTGCAAGTAAGGTATTTGAATTCACAATGAGGAGAATTTGAAAATCCATGTGCTTTATTACATATAGACAGGCGCTGTAAGGTTCTAAACACTATACAGCTGAATTTATATTCATCCTTGGAGTGAATTAATCAGCAAACGTCGAAGACGTACAAAGTAATGCATGTTAACTTGAATATATATTAATAGAACGTTTTCCGACGAAGAAAAAAGCTTAAACAAAGAAACTAACCATTGGTAATAATTTGTCCAGGCTGGAATGAGAGTTCTGTATCATGACCTGCTGTACACTTATAAAGTGTTTTCACTCGACGGCTAAAACTTCATCAAACAGTTTTAATATCGAACATTCGAAAAATCTTTTACATATTTCACAAGCAGTATTACTTTGCTCCCTACAATTCTAAACCTGAAGTTACAATAAAAAGATATGACTTCTCTACCAATACTGTAACCTGTTATACTTTCCGCAATCGATAAAATTCCAAAAATGCATGACTGCTAAGAAATTCATTCCTTTACCTTGGCACTGAATATTCTCTGCCTACACAGCAAATCAGATTATTATACGTGATGCAGCACAGAAAATTTGTTTTAAAGTTAATGAATAAAGATAGAATGAAGATTTTATCATGCAGGGAAAAAATAACAGAACTGTGTAAATCTTTTCAATATTATCAGCAAGAATGAAAATTAGAAAGCACAAAAAGAGAAAAACCTTGAAAAAGCATGCACATTTTTCAAAACTTTTTTTGAAACCGAATTAGCAAGCTCTATCCGATCACTGGAAAATTTCCAGACTATTATCTATCAAGTAAAAGCTAATATGTGAGCCTAAAAATAATTAGGTACTATGATTTGAAGTACCTTCGCTGAAGAGCTCCCAAAACTTGATTATAAGCCATTAATGGTGAAACTCTCAATTCCTCAAAGTGGAACGTTTCAGTGTCAGTTTCAGCAGCAGTAGCGATAGCACCAGCACCAGAAGAAATAGTAATATCATTACCGCTAGCAATGAAAGTGTCACGCTTGCCTAGTAAAGTGACACTTTGGGATGGCCGAGATGATGTGACACAATGTTGACGATAAATTGATATGGATAAAGGTAGTGATATTTTATGACCAACACTACAACAACAGTTATTCATACTTGTGGAAGATAATAATACAGTGGAAATCATAATGAATTCTAGATAAAATATGCAAAATTATTGAAGTTTTTTTATCTTACAATAAAGAATTACTGTCCGCAATGGCGTGGAATGTATGACTTGGATTAAAGAATGTGAGAGCTAATGACGAAAGTTAGAATGAAGCTAGCATGCAAAAACTTGAAGTTACAAGCGTGTTGCTGAAAATTTATGATAACTGCTAGCAACCAATTTTGCACGGGCAAAATGATGGATAATGATTTCAGAACAAAACTTGATAAGTCAACCATAACTTTAAAGTGAAAAAAATGCACAAAAAGTATTCAAGTTATTTCTTAACCATCGCTTGTCATCAAGTCTCTTGAATAAAACTAACTATTTCAGTCCAATTTCGAAAATCATATTTCAAATAAAATAATAAAAAAAGGATATACAAGCATAGCATTAACGCATAATTATACAACAAAGGTCGACAATTTTACTGATGCAATTTTTTTTAGAATTTTCTAAAAGTAGGAACTTACGATTCAGATGAAAATGGATTATATGCTGGAGCGTACGATGTACTCAGTTTTACTGAAATTGCTTGCAATAATTTAAAATTACATAATCATCATTTTGCCATGCACACTAAGTAAACTGAACCATAATTAGATTTCCTTACATGCTAATAATAGAATAATTATAAGCTTGACCTTATAATCTGAATACATAAATTCCGACATTTTACGACTCATAACATTAAAAAACTAATGCGCTTTCAACAAACAGCTATTTCAAGTCTGATTTTGAAAAAAATGCCACCTTTAGAAGTCACAGTCTGTTGTTCCTGTGCAATATTGTATCGAGATCTATCGCTCGGGTTTGGTGATAATTCAGAATTGCTAGCTACTGAATTCAAAGATTCTGAACTTTCTCCAAATGGCTTATTGGCTTGCACTTGATTTTCGCGTCCTGTTTTAATCCTTAAATTTGGAGTTTTAACAGAGGCATGGGTGGAAAGTGATAAATAGGTTACTGAAAAATTGCGTGCTTTATAAGCTAAAACCAGTAACTATTCGTGAAATAAATTTATGAAAAAGTTTTTTTAGCGCTAATCTACCACCAGCATATAAATGTAAGGAAAAAAAGCTAAAATAATACACCATTTAGTAACATTAGTATCAAAGAATGCCAGCAATAATTTGAACCGAGTATTTTCTGATGATGATGCAAGTGATAACTGCTTCATTTGAGGCTTTCCGACACTGCGCATAAGGGCGGAAGCTGTTAGACTCTCACTGGGTACAGGCGTGACTGGCGATGTTCCAGCAGAAGTGCTTGGCTTACCATACGCTAATACCAAGCGATTCGAAGCGCTCAGATTTAAATCTTTAAAAATATTGATTAAAAAAATATCAAGTTTAACTTAGCTCCAACTGATGAAAATGATCCTATGCATAACATTAATTATAAAAAAATAACCCCCTATATTTGTATTTTTGAAATATGGAACAATTTTGATGGAGATCAGAAACAATATAGAAGCGATTCGAACAAGATGTCAGACATTAATACTGTAAAGCGAACAAAAAAAAGCACAATGCAAACCATCATTGCTATCAACATACGAACATGCCACTCGATCGTAAATAGGTGGAGGTCTTTGGCGTATCAGTAAACTATTGGTGATCGTCTCTGGGCGATTGCTATGACCTGACATAACTTCCGGTTGCGATCTGCGAAAAAAAACATTTCCAGTTTTTTATTTAATAATTCTCTGAACGGCTTTAATTTTTTACCTTTTTTACATCTCTCTGAAGTTTGATAGCAGTTAATCTAGATTCTGTAAACAAATCTTTAATTCAGAAAAATTGAAATGAAATATCTTTTGACTTTTGAATGCACATATTCCCTCTTTTTATTATAGATTATTTTGATTAAAGACATGTTGGAGACAAAATTAATCACCTTTTTTCTTCTTGGTATGATAAAAGTTGTTTCGAAGCAGTAGTATAAGCAACAGTAGCTTCCCCAATAGACAGACTATCTCTTCCATCTTCGTCTTGATGACTAGGCTTGGGGGGACAAGGAATACTATCAATATCCATTGGTTTTTTTTTAAATATCTGAAAAAACACAAATTTTTGAATAATGTTTCACTGACTGCTTTAAATAATAACTTCCATGATGAAATATTATTACTTCATGATCATGTGATGAGTAAAAAAAAGGATACCATCCGATCATGAAGTAAAAATGAGATATGGCGGAAATGAAACAAAATTTCGCGCAAATTCTGCAAAAAATTTTACACTCTGCATAACTTCGAATGAAAATGTTCAAAAAGATTAAAAACTCAAATGATTGATGAGTGTTATTAACCAACTATAATGAAATTTATATGCCTTAAAAACTATGATTAACTGAATGTAAGATTTTTTCTAAATTACTGCTTAAAAATTTTCATTTTTTATAGTTTTTTTCCATAACATATATCTAGATTCTTTTTGTACTAGCTACAACTTTTCCGGTACAACTAGTGCAGAACAATTTTTTCCCTCCGATTAATAATAACTGATAATATTTTGACAAACCAAAATAAATACCTCAACTGCACTAATCATTATAAATATTCATTGTTATCTGAACTTCCATTTCATTTAATTAAGATAGAGGAATTCCAATACTTTATTTACCTAATGTCAGTCTTAAATGAAATGAACTTTTTCATTATAAGGCTAAAACAGCTAACGAGATCATAATTTGCAATCAGGACTTCGACGACAACATTACAAAACTTGATATCCATTATAGCTGCCATTGTTTCTTCTTTTGGCCGAAGCAAAGTTGGCCCAAAGCAAACACCAAGATTACCTACTGTCATCAAATTTTCACTAGAACAGTCTGCAACTCTGAAATATAACATGGAAACATCATCTGTAAACTAAATAACCATAACTCACTTTTAACACAAATGTATTCCTCATAAAGTAGCGATTAATATTTAGGCTGGAATATATTACCTCAAAAAAATCTTAAAGAATATATATTAGAAAAATTTTCATTCCAAGTGATATTTTTCTTTAGGATTTCAAGAAGAACCTCTACAAGCTAGTCAAAAATATATGCTGATTAAATTTTGACAAAATATCTCAATCTCAACAGAAATTAATAAATACTGCTAAATAAAAGTATAATTGAGCAGTTTACTTCTTGAGATGTTCAATTACAATTTTAAGCATCTCGAAATGTATTTGCGGTAATTTATAAACAAAATAATGAATGCAGCAAACACGCGCTTTACAATCCATTTTAGCGGCATTGATGAAGTGTGAATGTAACTCAAACGTCATCAAGGGTTCAGGTAAATTCCTGAAAAATTGCAGAGGAAAATAAGAAACCATCAATGGTACTATATGTCAAGTTTCGTTTCAAAGATTAGCTGACTAGTAACTTCGAGATCCGAAACGTTTGTTTCAGTTCATGCTTTTAGAAGCAGAAGGAAAAAATTATTCAGTTTATTCGAAGAACAAGAATAGGAAAAACCGGAACAAAGTTACAACTAATTTACTAACTTCGTGAAAATTAGTTATTGTAATTTAAATTACGCAGTGGATATAAGTGGCACCTCAAAAATGTTTTAAGAGCGCTTGATAAAGTTTTAATTTCCCAATCATCATCATTAAAGCTGAATTTTTCATGCAAGGATCGACGTCTATCCAATCCAATTTGCATCAACTTCTGCACTTTCGATGTTACCCCGCAATTCCGATATAAGCCTTGCTCCCGGATCCCTGAAAAAATAATTATACTAAATTTTTCGCAAGTATGAAAAAATCAACACTTTAGTGGAGGCATAAGAAAAGAAATACAAATATACTTTCTGCATCATATTAAATAAGGCAAACAAAACTGCACAAGATTTTTTAGCAACGACTTATCTAATATCCAGTCGTGAACGCTATAAGTTTCAGTACGACTTCCAAAGTGATTAACCATATACTAGTAATGATGGTTTTGGATAAAAAGTGATTAACCATATACTAGTAATGATGCTGCTCGGACAATTTATATAACCATAGCCAAAGCTTACTTTTCAACTTTCTAATTTCATATACACCCAAAAATAGAAGAAAAATCTTCATACAAGAAAACATATTCAAAATCACAAGAATCAGCTGGACTGATTTAAAGCCAAGAATCTGGTTAGGTAACCAAATTATACTTATTAGTCCTGTGAACATAAATGCAGATATGACAAATACTATTTAATCTCATATTCAACCTGAACTCCAGTAATAATTAACTGAATAGGTAAAAGAATAAATTGATAAAATAGTGAGTGAACGTCACGTTTCCATAAATACTACAAACTAAATCTGATAATTGATTGCAACAATGAAACACATCAATTTCAAGTAACGGTAATTGATCTCAGACATTCCAAAAATTTTCAAAATCTTTGATTGTTTCTTGTCTTCATAGCGATAACGAGAAATATCTTGCTTGAGCAACCGAATTTTTTGAGATCTTTAATAGCTAAATGAATTCAAATATGAAACAAAAACATGTATGTACTACTATTACATAACTGAAATCACTTGAACTTTATGGACATTTATGATCTTCTCAAAATCTACAAACCTTTTTCTTCTATAGCTTCCACACACTTTTTCACAAAATCGAAGCCATTATCATCGAGTGTTGCTGCAAGCATTTTCAATAATTAAATGTATAATAAAGAAGTATCATGGAAACAACAAGCACTAATGCGCACTTCTAATTAGAAAAGTCACCTATAAAAAATACCATGACATTCGTCCATAACAAATGCTGGTAGGAATGCGCTACCACAATAGACGGCTTTTAAACCTTGGGTCAAATTGTAAGTTGTTGCTGATGAGAATGTTTGATTCAAGTCAGGAGTAGTAGCAGTAACCCGTGACTGGACAAGATCTTTCAGTGATGGATACATTATTACCAGCTACGATAGCATCATACTAGGCAAAGCATCTCGAAATCATTACAGGTTAGATTTGGATACCACAGTAAACGTCATTTTCATGAGGAAAAATAAAATATCGAATTCAATGTTAGGGATAATGCAACCGCAAACAAAAAATTTTCATCGTGCTCCATGCATTATAGTCCACATTTTCATTTGAAGTTGAAGTCAGTAAGAATACTTGAGATAGAAGACAAGGAATTAAAATGCATAGAAATGTGAAGAATGTCCATTTTTTCTATGACATTTCTTCGAATGAATTAATTTATTCAGAGCCTAAACTTCATCGCTTACTTTTATTCTGTTTGTCGTCTAATGCGAGTGACGTCAGTATCAACTTGAGCTTAAGGGACGAATATATGTCATGACATCAAACTCGCTGTTAACCAGAAAATGCTCTTCGCTTTATATAGTAGACAAATTAATGCAAAATCCATCAGTTAGTTCTAGGATATTTATTTCAGTTGTAATCACGATAAACCCTTAGTAACTGCCTCTGAGGCAAAAACCAAATTCGATTTTTCAATTCAGAGCACATGAATAGAGAAGAGGCGAGAATGTTACTTCATTGCACATAACACAAACAAGCGACAATGAATAATTTCTGTTGAGAACTGAATATTTAATTATAATATGTGAAGCACATGATTTCACCCACTGCAACTTTTACCTTATGAACTAAATGTCAAAATTAAGAAACCAAAGCTCAGTCACTGCATTGTATCCAAACAAAACATTTTTAATACCGTAGTCAATGAAAATGAAAAACAAAAATTTTTAGTAGTTGAAGGAGAACCATTTCTGACTATATTTTCAAAAAATGAATCAAAAACCAATGTGCAATATTACCTCATCGCAAGTATAGAATTAGAGAATTATAAAAAGTACGATTAATTAAATACTTTCATGTACTTAAATCTATGTTCTCGGAATATATTAAGCACATTTTTGTTAATACTCATTTGTCAATCGCAGATAAGAGAAAAATCAATTGTAGCAAGGGATAGCTTAATTAATTTAATATCATAATCAGAACATTTCAGCTACAGTATTCAGATCAATAAATAAGAATAATATGCATCAAATCAAACTTAACGTCTACTTATCTTAACGAGTAACTTTTTGCTAAAAGTTTAAAAGTTATAGGAGAGGATAGTAACATATTAAGATTATTTTGCTTGGTATATATATATATCAGATTGATTTGAGTAATGTATCTATTTAGAGAACCACAAATAATTTGATATCAATCATAAATACGAAAAATGGAATAGCATATTGAAATGCATTTTCGTAAAGATGTAAAAATTCTTAAAATTTTGAGGTCAGAATTGAAAGCGTAAAAAAATGAGTAACTTATCGACAGATGACATAGTAAGTTGTAGATATAAACTATAATTTTAAACGAAATAATGCTTTACTTGAGAAAACACCCTAACATGCAGTCTGCGTAAATATGGAATAGAGTTACACGAAAGAAGATGAACTGAACAGGAAAGTAGAGGTTGCAGTGAAAGTTCGCTTTCAACAATGAAATAATGAGTATTACACGACTTTGAGAAACAAATTCTGTCTATGCTAACGAACAGCCTCTTCTCTCTCCCTTCCGATGGCATGTCAGTGCGTTTCTAATTCTGGCATAATTAGTAGAAATGTTAGCTGCGGAGGCTATGGCATCGAAAAATAAGCGCAAACAATTGCGAACTCTCCACAGCAACAACAAAATGAAAATAATATGAGGAAATTCCTTTTATATGCCCCATATATCTGTCCATATTGCAAAAGCCCATCACGAATTTTTGCAACAACCAAATATTTTCTAATTTATGCTATCGTCGGATATGAAAAGGAATAACACCACAGCCACATCGCTTCTACTTTAGCTAATGCTTTTGGTTTTTGTTTTTGATACAACATACTAAAAGAAACAATAAAATAGCCTTAAAATGGTTGGTTGCCAATGCAACTAACAGAAAACTCGGCCCTGCAAGGTCCTTGTATTACTGAGAATGCAAAGCTTTGTGGTAATGTTTTACTCAATTCTAAATCTATAAAAATAAAGGCATTCGTCAATATCATTCTGCAGTATCTGATTTTTACTTCCTTTTCTTGATTTATTATGAGCCCAAAATTACACAATATATTATCAACAAATATTCTCAATGAGCTGTCAAAATATTTTAACTTCAAAGACTGTAAACGAATTTATTAATACAGAGAGATGAAGCGAATATCTCTCTCCATATATATATGTATTTCCATTAATGAAAATCCAATAAAAAATACATAGTAATCTAAAAAGGATATAACCATCTCATCTCTACTTTTTATTGTATGTTTTAATCAGCTTGGTTTCCTCTCTTTCCTTTCATGACTATCACATTAAGCCGTTTTATGAATGTTATTCAAAGTCCCAGCCATTCAACAAATTCAAACCAAGAAAATGTCTAAACTACAGATACGAACTAATTCTCCAAGTAATGCTGAAATTATCTTATTTGTTTATGAATTCTTACTTCTTGCTTACCAGAAAACATATCTGCATCCATCCAAATTTTTGATTTAAAAAAAACTTGAAGATATTTTTTAAGAATTTAAAAGGACAAATAGATTTAAATATAAATGTACACTCATATCCAAAGCTGAAAAAATAATTTCTGCACAGTTTCCTGGAGATCTTGAAATGTCGTCTTATTGACGTTACTGCAATCACCAAAACAAGATGTGCAATAAATTGCAAATTGTTTGCAAAAGTAAATGACCACTAAAATTCACGTTTCATATCGAAAAGCCAAGAATTCTGTGTAAATTTTATTACTTACTAATGTGCTGTACGGGAAATGGATGATTTAGATGCAAGAAAATAAAACGGTACATGTATTTCTATTGTGGATGATAAAAAATAAACTTACTTCCCAAGCAATTTGTAGGTGGGCCTGCTCCGGGAGAATATATCTAAAAAAGTGTTTATTATGAGAATGACGTGGGAAAAATTAGAAGAATCAGGCTTCACATTTCCCTGAAATCAATTAAAATATATCAATATTAATATAGAAATCAAACATCCGTGAATAGATTGAAGTAAAATGATTTTCAAAAAATTTGGAAAAGTTAAAAGTTCTCGAAATTTCAAGAACAATTTTAGTTCGAAAGAGATAAAAGTTCTTATAATATACTATAATAGTATTTCTCATCACTCCCCAATTTGTGGTAGCTTAGTAGCTCAAAGAATCGTCTTGCTTGAATCGTCTTTTACTAATACTATATACCTTTAAAATATTACCCACTACATATGTCTCCAAATTTAAAAATAATAATAAAAGCACATTTTGCAATTTCATTTATCAACTTCAGTTGAATCTCTGCTATTTTTCATAATGAACATAACTAACATAACCCGAAAATTCTCAGAAATACTATTATAGAATCTTTCGTGCAAAGCAAATTACATAATCTCTTCAATACTTATAACGGTGAGAAGCTTCTAAACTGTTAGTTATCATGCTTGACATAAAAATTTACAGGTTCTCTTCCATCCATAGCATCAAGCCACTGTCTTCGATCTTCTTCAGATAAAGCTTGCAAAGTCATTATCTCCGAGCGATCCATAGCCAAAACATCGAAACAAAATCTTAAAATCATATACAAAGGTGATGAAATCATCCTAAAAATTAAACCAATGATATAAATATTATACATCTTCTCAAGAGCAGTTCAAAATGCAAACCTCTTATCAATACTATCTGAAGCTCTTCGCGTGCATGCTTTTAATTTGAATGACACAGACTGTCCAAGAGCTCCTTTCATATCCTATTAAAAAAAATAGGATATGAATTTCGAGTTAATATTTCATTTAATTAAGCCAGTAAGATTTAAAATATGATTTTCTAAATCATGATGCATAATGCGATTGTCATTCTAACACAAAAACACAAAAATTTGAACACACACACATTGTGTGTTATGAGTTCTGTTTTATTCAAGAAATTTAGTTAAGTACTGTTTCTTTCGGGTGTTTTTACCATGTTGATTAGCGTTACGCTCATAACACAAAAATTTTCATATGATCAGCTTAATTTTGTTATCACTAACTGACTTATCAGTTATGTTATATGAACAACAGCAGCAATATAAAACTAATTTTCAATACACATTCATTGATTTGTTTTTAGTTAAAAAATTTTTGAGTGAAAGGAAACACGTCGCAATAATGTAGTAGTATTCACAAACCGTTTTAGCAGTACTATTTACTGGGATCATGGTAAATATTCGCGTTTCTTTTTGATAGACACAATAATACATAGTCCACCGGTTTGACAAAACATCCCTACTGATTGTTTCTAAAAATTAAACGAATAAGAAAGGTACACTTACACCAATAACCTTATTTCATAGACAGAAATAGTTTAAGAAACGTACTTGGAATTTTACTTCTTTCGTGAGCAAATATGTAGCCTTGCTTGATGCTGGAAACAGTTCTAGGTACCGAATTTTCATTAGTACCATCACTTCTACCCGTTTGAAATACCTGAAAGTTTGTTTTTCGATATCAAAAAATAAACTTTAAGCACGGAGACTCTCACTAATAAGGCATTTGCATTATTTCTAATACTCTAAAATTAACTAAGCAAAAAGTTTTTTGATTCACCTAGTTTTTCAGATTTTCGAATTTGGTGAAAAAACTAGTTTTTCACCAAAAAACAACAATTGTTTAATTATCACAGATCAAAAATTAAGATGAAAAATCAGAAAAAGATTTTTTATTTTAAAGTTCTTTTAATTCCAAGAAAACACAAGCTAAATATACTGCAGTTCTATATTTTAGCATTAACTTCTTTCGCCAAATCTGGATCTTTAAAAAGAGGAAATTGCATATTTTAAAAAAGGATTGCTATATGCATGCAAAACTTGTATCAGCTGTGCTGAGTACACTTTAAAAAACTTCAAATATTAGATTACAAATAAAACTAACAGCATTTTTTAGATGATTGATCAACATCTTGTCCTTGAGTTGCAAATAATATTCTTTTGTTTCTTCAAAACTTTGTTTTGCCTACAACATTTCATATCTATCATGGGACGCTTTTCTTACTGTCAGATTACTTACATGAAAACTATATAGTAGGACAGACTACAGATGCACATATAAATAGATATAAATATAGATATATACGAGTTATCAAGCAGTTGATTCTGAGCTGCTAAATTGCCGAATGGTGCAACTATCATACAGCAAAAAAATAGAAAAACTGGATAGATGAAAAAAAAACTGCATTAGGAAGCAGGAGAATGTTTTTAACACTTGACAATTATTGTGCCCTACCTAAATACTAGGTATAACTTGTAGAAAATTCAACCGTGGAAAACGCATTAGCAAACTAGAAGACGCTCTTGTAAGGCGAAATAAAAAATAAAACTCATCATGCAAAGCTATATATACGCGAATGGATTAAATCTCGTCCGTAGCTGATTCATCAATATGGCTACGATACGGAAACATTACTCCGTCACATGAAGCAAGATACTGTAATCTCAAAGATAAAAATATGTTGAAGCTGAGAAAGGTATGTGCCAGGTTGTAGGGAACATGTGAAGACGGTGGACCTAGCAACGCAGTGCGAAAAAATGTTATATCACGACTATTCTAGAAGACACAATGAGGATCTGCGATGTATTCATTTGTGACTGCAAAAAGTATGATCTAAAGGCATTCCCACACATGCAGAGCCACTCCGTACAGAAAATCGTCGCTAAGGAGTGGAAACTGGAGTCGAAACGGGAGTAAGAACTGCAATTAGAATAAGGGTGGATCGAATGGACATCCTGAGGTATGACAAAGCTATAAAGTTAAGTACAGATCGATCGGATATTATGATCCGTGGTAAGAAGCAGTATGAAGTACTCCTGATAAAGATAAGCATCACTGTCAAAACAGCAGTTGAGACCGAGAAAAAGCGCAAATATGACCTACTAGCTAATAAACTTGGGTCAGAGATAAAATGCAGGACTAAAATAATTCCGTATGTGACGAGCTGGGATGGGATTGTAACGAATCTCAACAAACGCTTCGCGAAAGAGATCAATATATTTGATCACGTCGAGTCATACATCCAATTGATAGTTCTCAAGAAGACGCTCGAAAGCATCTCATTCGACAGGATTGGATTCCACGAGGACGAAGCGAGAACGATGAGTACAACAAATATGAGTGCGAGACAAGTACTGCCAGAATGCCAAAACGCGATCCAATGCCAGATTTAATAAAGCGAAAAAGAAGATTAACCTCCAAATATAAATTTTATTTTTATGCAAATTGAATTGCCAACAACAATAAACCAATTGTCAAAAAAACTGAACCTTCTGGACTTTCGACTGTACTTCGCTTAAAAATGGCTTAAAATCTTCATGTGTAACGTGACCTAAAAAGATTTAAATTTGTATTATTAATAAAAGGACTGACTTCACAAGTCTGATGAGCA